ATTTAAGAGTTGACATGTTTCTGTCTGTAAATGAAAAAATCGCATTTTTAGTTGTAATTATAGCCTGTACCCAAAGGGTGAAAGGCTATACTAGTTTTGTGCGCATGTATGTAACACACAGAAGAAGGCGTGGCAGACCCCACAAAGTATATATATTCTTGATCAGGATGAGAAGACGAGTCGATATAGCCATGTCCGTCTGTCTGTCTGTCCGTCTGTCCGTTTGTCTGTATGAGCGCAAGGATCTCAGTAAGTACAAGAGCTAGGATAACCAAAATTGGTATCAAGGTTCCTATAAGCCCTACGCAGAACGAGTTTGTTTATTTTTTCTGATACACCCCCCCCCACTCCCCCGCAATTCGAATTTTTTCTTATAACTTCCGTAATTCTCAGAATTTTAAAATCAATTTTGATAGGTACATCCAGTTAGTACTAATGTGTCCGTGTGCCAAATTTCATTATGATAGGTCAATTCTGAAGAAAGTTATAGCCATAAGTAAAATCGCTGCTCATGCGATGCCTGCAGCTCTGTCGGCAGCGCTGCCCGCAGCTGTCGTTGTTGTTGCTGCTTTTGTTCAACTTTGTGCTGCATACATACACGCATATGAACACGCATAGGTACGTGATGTAAATGTATGCTGTTAAAACTGAACATAAACATGTATTCTAATTTAATTTAATTAATTAATTCATTCATTTTTTTTAATAATTTAATTTTTTTTTAAAATTTTTTTTTTTTTAATTTTTCCTTTTTGTGGATAGTACAGGCTATTTTACTGTCAGGCTTGCTCGACTGTAGCGTTCTATTTTGTTTTTTTATTTAAAACTTAAGGCCCTATATTCATAAAAAAACACACGTAAATATATTTAAATAAATATTTACACGTACATTTAAATAAATTTAACATCGATTTTTCACCACTCTGTGTTTTAGTAAAAATAAAGTGTGTATACTTAAATTGTGATTTTAATATTAAAATATAAAATTTTAACTTTATTCACGCGAAAGGTTTTTTTAAATTCTATAATATTTTTCCCACTTTTTTCCCCTACTCTACTAACCAACAGTATTAATTATTTTAATACTAATGACATTTTTTTTGTTTTTATAAATATTGATGTTCCCCTTTGTATTTATACCGCAGGGCCACTGAAAACCACAGAACTTTCATCTGGTCAGTTTTTCTCATTATTTCATATTTGAAAATAATCGAGAATATTAAAATGTAATAAGTTTGCTGTGTATTTACAACAACTACAAAAAATCAAATCAAAGTATGGAATAGTAGATTTAACTACATATTTGTTATTTGAGTATGACACACATTAATAAGAAAGACTTATAGTACACTTTGTTTTGAATATTATTCATATTTAAATCAGTAATTGGATATGTTTTTAGTGAAATTTGCATTGGTTATATTTGATTTAAATACGAAATATAAAAGCATGGAATTGGAAATATTCATTTGTACTATGCAGTTTTTTGCACTCTCATTCGGGCGCCTCCAAATTGATGTTACAAAATCTGTATAATATGTCAGGGTTAGATTTACCGCTGCTTGTTTTGATTGCTTTCTTTATCAGATGCTATCAGATATGTGATATACATATAAAGATCCCAAGACGGCGCGGTAGCTCGTCCATCAACCTGCCTATTTCAAACTAATATCTCTACATACTATACTAATAACTCACTGTTAAAACTATGGCGCTAAAAAGAAATTTTGTATAAAGACTTCATATTTCTGCAAAGACACAGATCCCACGAAACGGAAGAAATGCGACTTCGTTTTCTTTCTGAAGCAAATAAGCAAAATAAATTATAGCAGCATATAGTTTATTTGAATTTGAGCTTCTATTATATAATTTTTGAAACATTCAGAGTTCTTGTATGAAAATTTGTTTAGCTTATATGAAAGCTTTTTTTCATTTTTCATTTTCAACAACAAATACGTGGCTTGTTTACTTATGAAAAATAGAATATTAAGCTTATCTGAAAATGAAGAAAAACTGAACGAAAAAAATGCATGTACAAGTATACACCGATTCAAAAAGCAGATTTTATAAAAACCCATACGTAAAAAAGCAATTTGAACTGATTTATACAATAAATAAAACATCACTGCATTTTAGTGAGCAAACAACATCGAGCATCGCAGAGGCATTGATTTTTTCTTTATTTTTGTTGCTGTTGTTGTAATGTATTCAATTAAGGGAGCCGAGTTTCACAGAAAAATACTTATCACTACAAAAATCGTCAGAACGAGGTAAGAAGCGAAATGTTGAAATTAGGACTGCAACTCACAAAATATCTGCGAGTCCGATTTGTAGCGTAATAGGAGAACTTTAATAGGAGAACTTTTCAGATTTATTCGACAGTGACTCAGGTGATCCTATTGAAGTGCAGATACTAAATTGGAAAGCTATATACAAATAAATGGCTCGCATTGTGAATACAATTTAGCAGATTAAATATGCTCCGAACGAACAAAACAAACACTGGGAACAAAGGCAGAATCAAATCAAAGACAGACAAATGTACATACCTACGCATTTTAGCCAAATTGAAAAATTGTGCAAGTCATAAAAAGTTTCCCGTTTGTGCACAAACAAGTTGCAAATACATATTCAATTGATTTGAGACAACATTTAACAAAAGAAATGAGCGACACGGGCAGAAATTCATGGAAAAACCATTGAAGCATGCATGTCGGCATCTAATGTTACGGCCCAACCTTTTAAATATAATTAGTTATACTTTCTCATAATAAAACTCATTTAATGCATTGCCGACAAGGTCATAAATTTCAGGATGAGTGCGAGCAAACAAATATACAATCCCCAAAGTACATACTACATACTACGTACTTATGTACATATACATATTTTACGTACATATGTACATACATGGCGCAGAATAGACACGTATTAATAATCGTATCTATACAGTGGCTCACAGTTTTTTTTTATGCGGTGCATACGCTTTCCCTTAAAATACTTTATCTTAAAAACCGATAAACTGAAATGAACTCGAGAAAGCTGTACCCCTCCTGCCCATAAATGAGGAAAACTGATTGTTAATCTGGCCCTGAGAGCTCTGTAAATTTGATTAGATCAAGTATAATGAATTTCCAAGGGCCGGAATAAATTATTTTAAGTATTTTTATATAAATTTGAAATGTTTTAATAGTTGCACTTTAAAATCTCTACTCTTTTTTAAGAATTCTTGTAATTTTGTAACTTTCCTTTTTCATTGTTTTTCTTTTTCATTATTTCATTCAAATGAATATTTATTATGATTATTTTAATATATTTCCATGTTTTTAATTTGACAGTGTTTTGTCAGAAATAAAATAAATAAATTTTGTGCAGACACTTTCGTGTGGAATGGTACTTTAATGCTTAGTTAATTAATAGTATTTTCTATTTCTACTTGTATGCCTTTTCTATTTTTAAAATAGGTTGAAAACAGCAATTGAGCTCTTTAAAAGCGAAAGTAATATTACACATTAATGCATCTACGATGAAGAAATAAACGATTATTATTTTTACGAGATTCGGTAGAAAATTGGGCCCAGAAAAGGCCCAAATTCGATTATCAATGAAAGTTATCAGCGGTACATTTTCCAGAAAACCTAGTTATACCGCCACTCTGCATTCCAAACTTTTACCCTAGGCTGCAGAAGGCTTAGCCAAGCAATGTGGTGTAGAAACTGCTGCTACGCGATAATTATTTTTCTAAACGAGTGGACTTCATAAGTAGACTCAACTTCCACAGGGTACACGTTTTTAAGGCCCCAGAAGAAGAAATCCTTAAGGCAACTGTTAAGCATGGCGGTGACAGCCGCATGGGTTGCCTGGTACAGGAAGTTAAGTAGGATAAACAAACTTCAGATCTTAAAAGAGAATTGGATTAAAAGTGGCTTCAGTGTGGGTATAATCCTGCTCCGCCAGGACCTTAATATTTTCGGAAATTAATGGGCAACATTCGATTAAAGTTGTAGGAGCATAAAATTCGCAATAAAGGGACCATAAACAGGCGGAGTATTACACCAGAGTAGACATCGCCTTAAAGCAGGGGAAAAAGAGGGGAAATAATTATATTATATTAAAAAAGGCTTTTCACGTCGGAACTAAAATAAAATAATAAATAAAATAAATAGACATTAAAATATGCAGTACTTTTTGTTTTTCAATGTTTAAGGTATCTATTACTAATAAATGAAATCAATATTAAACTAGAAATTATGCACTTTCAAATGGTGACAATATTTTCGTTGTTACAGGCCTCTAGAGCAGAGAAATATGTTCTGCATAAAATAAGCTGTGAGCCACTGTACGATGATATGCACACATGTGCTATACTTGTATATGGCATACCAATTTCTCATTTGATTAATCGATGCGATCAAAAGCAAATAGTTGGCCACACGCGCCACCCTAATCGCCTTAAATGTCACCTAATACAAAAGCAAGAAATTCAATTAGGAAAAGCGCAGCGCTTCAGCGCCTCGAGCTATGGTAATGGTCACACACATTATTTTATGATTGATTATTAAGGCTCCTACGAAACCGAGTCTACCTCCCCCCGCACCCCCCACCACCCAGACTTGGCTGATTGACATCAAGGGTGCCGATCAAAAAGCTCTTAACTCATACGTGGCATAAGTACTAATAAATATTAATCAATCGCATTAGCATCGCCAGGCGTTCATCCATGCAGACGAACAGGCGGACGAGTATGTCTAAATCGATTTGTCTCATCACATACCTATGTATACTTTATTCCCTATGGGGATTTACCATCCCACCAACTTTCTTCTGCCTGTTCTACATTGCACAATAATACAACGCAGTATATATCTAGCGACAATGATATACATATAAACTGCTATTATCATTTCTATATAGTATGCTCCATATCTACACACGTATAAATATATTGCTATACTTGTAAATGTATTCCCTCTAATTTGTATTGTTTTGCACTTTTTCAGGAATGGAACGACATGAATTTGCGATGGAATTCGAGTGAGTTCGGGGGCGTTCGCGATTTGCGAATACCGCCGCATCGTTTGTGGAAACCGGACGTGCTCATGTACAACAGGTAATAAATTAATAAAAATATATATGTTAATAAAATGCAACAACAATACGTACTCGTACTTTGTAAATATTTACATTTTATTATATTGTGAAGAGAAACTAATCTAATGGGCATTTTACAATAAAAAGACATTTGTGAAAAATGCTGTAAGGAAGAAACACAAATTCATTGCAGTCCCTTTTCTCAGTCAGCAGACCCCAAAAAAAAAAAAAAAAAGACCATCATATAAAGTCAAATAAAGCCGCGATAGGCACCCAAAACCAGTTTGCGGCATTATATTCGCAGCCATAAAAAATCAAGGCACTAAAGGTGTCGTTGTTGGTGTCAGTTTTATAGATGCGTGCCAAAGCCTACAGACCGGCAGAGGCAGCAGAGGCAGCAGAGGCAGCAGAGCAGCACTGCAGCAGAGCAGCAGAGCGGCAGAGCCAGGAACAGCAACAGCATCAGCATCAGCAACAACAACATGGAGAACAATGATAAAGCGCCCAATAAATACCAAACGACACAGGCAATGACACGCGAACAAAAAAGTAAACAATAGCAACATGTAAAAACGATTACAAGGTAGGCAATAAAACTGAAAAAAGAGCAGAATTGTATATGAGAGAGGCACAAAATATGAAAGCAAACCAACAGGCGCCTTTTCATAATGCTAGTGTAGGCCTCTGTAAGTGTGTGTATGTGTGTCTGTCTTTCTTTCTTTCTGTCTGCCTGTCTGTCTGTCTGTCTGTCTGTATGGTTGTGCGTGTGGTGAGCGCGTGCGTCGCAGTTTGATAAGAAGGTCTTATTTGTATTGTCAACGCAGTGCGAATGCGAGCCCCTCGAACCCTTGTCGGCACAAATCCGTGAGGAGCCGCCGAGCCGAGCTCTGTTTGCACAATATCTGACATGCAAATGTGCGCGCAAGCGTGTGTGTGTGTGTGAGTGTGGGCCAAGCTTTGCTTTCATTTGTTTGTATTTTGGAAAGCCGGCGGCAAACACAAACGTTGTATTACCATTAAATTGATAGCAGGGAAAAAGTGAGACGGAGCAAATGAAAAATATGCGAGTAGTAGTAGCAGTACTACAAACGTTCAAAGGAAATACACAGGAAAATGTGACAAAGAAATTTCAGAAAAATGATCCTGTCTGAAATCAACTCAATTCTGTTAAGGGTATAATCAAAGTGTTGTTATAGTCACATATGCTTAAAAGCTGGCCCAGCAAGCCAGTCGTGTTGAAAGCGAAGCTGATTTACTCGCACTTTCCACATGCTTAAATCCATTTTCTTTGTAATCGAATGGCTGTTACCGATTTACTCTCGACCCTCAGTACTTTTGAACGAATATTATTTCATCATCCTGGCAACTAAAGCAAAATTGTACCATTCTGCTTATTCACGAAACCAAAACAATAGCGACGCTATTAACTTATTTAAAACTTAACCTATGTCCTAAGTTTGAAAAAAATCAGGTGAAATGAAAAAAACAAATATGAAGATTGGTTGAACACGAGTTTTTATATGGGAATAGATCAAAATATAAATAGAAATACAAATATAGTTATAGATATAGATAATATAAAAAATATATATATTTAGATACAATATAGTATACTATGCATATATATTGTATGCACCTATCTCGGCGCCAGACTTACAATTCAAAAGTAAGTCCAAAAACAGCACCTGTCTGTTCATTAACTTAATTTTATATTGAAATTAAATTTCAAATAAATTGGCACAAAGGCCAATCGTCTTGTCATTTAATAAAGAATATATGTATATGCTTTGGGCGGTTTGCCACGCCTTCTCCTGCAACACCTACAACTCCTGTATTACATACATGCTGACTACAAAATAAAATCATCTTCTAATGAAATATGACACAATGAAGTTGTTTTTAGCTCGGTTTTTCATTATTTCTTAGCGCATATCTAATCACATTTTGAGCAATTTTTAGAGGGTTATATTATTGATAGTGGAAGGGACTCTTTTTTTAATTTCTTCAAATATTATAAACTAGTTAGTATCGTTTACATACGAACAAAATTCGGCTACCATGGAAGAATAGATCGATTTGTTTTTAGTGAATCGACAAATCATATAAAGTCAAATGTATACTTTAAATAGAACATAATTACTAAAAAGTAACGCTGAAAAATATAAAAAAAATTAAGTTTTGATCAGTTAAGTATTCATTGATTTCATTTTGCAGCTCCAGGGTGATAGCGCCGACTGTTTCAAAATAACATTTACCCAGTGTATTTCCGCTCATCTAGTAAAGCATAGACAATGTATTGACAGCATATGTGTTTCGATTATGTGGAGGGGCATGGCTTCCCATTCGTTTGATAAAGGCATATCGGAGAGTTCGGCACGATCAGTATAGTACTTCTGGCGCCTACTTAAGCAGACTGATATTCGTGATTAAGGCTACTGTTTATGCATAAAGTGGTTCCGTTTAAGAACTTTTCACATTCTCATTTCTAAAAAAGAAGAAAATAGATACACTACTTATAAGATATATTAGCAACACACAGTCTCATTTTTTTATTTTGTGCAACAACTTTAATGAGTGCCACTGCAGAATATTGTTGTCGTGCGTTTCAAATATTTATCAAAATTACAATAATCGTAAATGCGGTTTAAGAAAGCGTATTTTCTACCAGCGAAATATAGTAGCTCGTAAGAAAAGAGAACTTGTAATTAAAAGTCTGAAACGTTTTCCTTTTTTTACCAACATGGAACTAAAAAATCGCATTTCTGATCTCAATTCTGGTAGCATTTAAAAAACTAGTTTGAAAGTAATGCAGCTGTCTTTCGCTTCCAGTCTACATGCATTAAAGGAATTACTGCCATTATACAAGTATTGTGCATTATTATTTGTTTGGGAAATGCAGCTACTCGTATCATTTGAACAATATGTATATTTCACAAATGTATCGAAAGGTACAAGTTATAGCTCTTTGTATAACTGGGAGGCCACCACGACACTAATTGCACCACAACACTAGTCATCTCTAATTTAAATTTCAATTCATTAGTTTCTCACAGTGGATCATCTTCTTTTGTGGCCAATCGGCTTGTCAATCTGGCTGCCAATTAGTTTGCCTATCAGAAATATTTGACAGCAATAATTATTTCTAAATTTGCTTAATCTGTGTATGCAATATGCAAACACAGCCCGAAACGACAATTTGCATTTGAGACCGAAATATGTGCACGATAAATGCCAATTGCTAAATTTGCATATGATGTACGACAAGTGCAGATGTGTGCATGTACATAAGCATATGTACATACATACATACATATATGCTCGTATATTGTATGTGCCTAGCCAAATTTTGGCATTCTACATTGCAATTTGAGGTTGTTTGATTAATTTTTGGCTTCGTAATTTATGTTGAACTTGCTCCTGATTTGTCCTTTGTTCGACTTTTGAATGCAGTATAGTTTGTTTACACATACATATTTTAAGGTTACAGTTAGTGGCTTAACTCAACACCACAATATATACGACTATGAGGAAAAACTCATGTTTCTATAGGCTTCAACTGATGCTGCTTTGTTTCTCGCTATTATAACAAAGGGTATAGCAATATCTTAGATATAATCGGTCGAGCTTGCTCGGCTTTAACATTCCCTCCTGTATCAAATATTTTTCCTACTGAGTTCACTTGATGCACGTATAAATTAATCTGGTATACTTGTATCTCTAGTGGTGCCAGTAGGGTTTGTTAACAGATTTGATTTCTAATTAAAAGAAACATTAACTCCTTGCATTTTTCCAACCGTTAAGTGGACATAGCTATACAGTATGTAGATATTGAAGAACTTTGTCATTAGTGAACCGATTGACTTGAGTAGACCAGTGTTGAAAACCTCAGTTCAAGAAATTGTACAGAACCAAATTAAATAAAAATATCTCATACTTGAAAATCGGTTGTTTATTTTCAAGGATATTCAATGTTTGCATACCGACATAAAAGATGGCGCACCCTGTACTCATCTCTTCACATTCATCAAGAGTTGATATATTTTGTGGGGTCCACTGTGCCTCCTACTAGATGTTTACCCACATCGATGTTTCGATGTTTTTGGGGGACAAACATCGTTGTATCGAACTTTTACTAATGGCGAATTTTCAAAAAGCCTAGATTAATACGTAAACATACTGTATTTCATGTTAACTGTCTGTCAACTTATTAATAAACTTAATCATTTTTATTATCCTTATCTTATTCGTATCCTCCTTCAAGTTCTCTTTCCTCTCCAATCAAGTAGTTGCATGTTTGTAATCTAAATACAATAATATATTAATTTATCCATATAATGTTATAAATAATCTTTGCCATTCGAATTTTTCAAAAACTTCTCCTTTTCCAAGCCCTGCCCAATTTTTTTATTATAAAATTAGGCTCTTTATTTTATTAGCTTTTCCCGAGATTTTTTTCAGTGAAAAAGTTGGAAAAAAAGACAGCAAGCATCGACGAAACCATCGATGTTTGAAAAATATTACAAATCAGCCCGTCCAGCACTACCTCCTACGTTTTACCCTTTGGGCGAGAGCTAAGTATACGAATATAAAGTACTAACACACCGATAAAAATAAAACAAAAGTGAATACAAAAATTGTAAAAATATTTACATTTTCTGAATAAATGAAACCCATGTCTGTCTTTTTTATCCACGATTTCAATTAGGATACATACGCAAGAAGCCTTTAAGGCTTTGGAGTTTTAAAGTTTCCAGGAAAGACCGATTGAATTCCTGGCCCTATTTTTCGCTCACATGGTCGCTTAGACCCACTTGCAAAATCTTTCCCCTGGTTAACTATGCTTCATGAGCTCTTTTGCTCTACGATTTATGTTCAGAAGCATAGAACAGCATTTAATGCTAGTTAAAATATAGTTTAAAGTTTTACGCAATGCACTTCAGTTTATGGCAAATAAAATGAACGAAGTAAAATAGTTGAGGATGATGAAGGGACAAGTAAAGTTTATCCGTAACAACGAATAGGCTGGGGCGCGTCAACGCAGTTTTCGACGCTCATCAAAGATTTTTGAGTAAATTTTTATGGCAAAGTAAATGCGAGTGGTAAAAACAAAGCATAAAAATGCAATTAAGAGGAGCGTTCATTGTACTGTGGTCGGCGGCATAATGTGCTCAAGCTGGTTGACGAAAGGCACAACAACACAAAGCGGTAACAACAGCAATAGCAACAGCAACAGCAACACCAACAATGCCAACACCGAAGGCAGTGAAAGCATATATACATGTATATTCGTATATATATTTTATGAAGGCTACTTCCATGTGGGAAGGAACAGCAACGGCAGCCTCCATTGTTGGCGCGCTTTTCCCACCATGCTCGAGATTTTTGATGACGATGTGACAACACACAATGAGCAGAAAGTACGTGGGCCGGGGAATGCGGATGGGGATAAGGATAAGGATGAGGATGAGGGCATGATGAAGCATATTTCTGTTGACATGCTAGTGGGCGCATTATTAAAAATATGAATGAAAACAAGCGGAAAAGGGCAACAACAAAATATCAGCAACAATAAGTAAACAAGCATTTTTCCTTTAGCTCTACGAAACTTGCATGCTCTCATCTTTTTTATTGCACTTACAAAGCATTTTTACCAAATGCTACCAAAAATATAAACATACCACATGTGTGCATAATAGTCTCCAAAGCAACTAATTACAATTATAATAAAAACTGAAGCGCGGTACTAAATATTTCAACAGCATTTAAAATTTACAAGCACTCTTTTTGATTTCTAAAGATCCATTTAAAAAAATAATAATGTATATAGTATATGAGGCAATTATTTTTAAACGTGTCTCCTTAAAGTATTTGATACAATAAACAAAGGTATTACCTCCTTAAAGCTTGATCGTATGGCACTTCTCTTACTTTAGAATATTTTTTAATCAGTTTTAATTCGAGTAGGTCAACAAACCTGATGAGAAATGAATTGAATTAATATCTGATTAATTTAAAATTAAAAAGATTGCATTGTATTTTCATATTCCTTCCATTGTTCCAGGGCTTTTTTTTATTAAAATTAAATATACATAAGTAACGTTAATTAACAACGTTAATATAACACCTTTCAAAAGAAAGTGTAAAAGTGTTACATTTAATGTAATGTTCAATCGTATTAAATTTTAATGTTAACTCTCTTCAACAAAAGAAAAGGTAAACATCATCAGAATTTTTCCAATTTTGATTCCAAGTTTTTACCAGTTTATTTGAATACCCAACAAATATATAGTATTTTAATATTATTGTCTAATGAAAAAATTAATAGAAATCGCAAGTCTGAAATTTATTGTTATTGACTCTCGCCACTCTCAAGACTTTGTCTTAATAGAGTATTTTTAAGGTGAAGAATAACAATAGTCCCATTAAGGACTGATTTAAAAAATGTATGATTTTCCCAACTGATAATTCCATAGTGATCGAATTAAAGCCACTCATTCGACACAAAGTTATATCAGATATTTTTGTAGGTGCCTCAACGACCTAGGAGTCGCTACAATGAGCTGTAGCTGCTTCCATGCATGGTTATTTCAATGAGAGCGTTTTTTAAAAGGTCACGCTCCATGACTATGGAATGGACTGAAATGCCTACCAACTGACATCCAAACGAGCCCGGCTAATGACAAAACAAATGTGCCAAAGCCAAAAAGCGTGTCATTCTGCCTGCCAGCGACTTCAGCACCAAATGACGCGTGCAACTTGACGGCACGAATGGGTGGGTGGGTGTTAAGGGGGAAATGGGGGAAATGGGAAAATGGCACAACGACGACAAAAATGAAAGCCTCGGCCTGTTGCAGTTTTTCTTTGGCCCCGCGGCTAAGCCTGACCTCGGTATGCTGCGTCAGAGCATTCCAATCAAATAATGTCAAGGTGCAGCCGCCATAGTCGCGATTCTTGTTATCAGAGCGCCAACGTAAAAATTAATAAATATTAAATGAGTTTTTAAGCTGTAAAATATAAAGAGAAAACAAGAGAGAACGTTACAAACAAGCGAGCCCGACAATTAAATACCCTGTATCCCAAAAATAAACAGAAAATCAGCTCATAGCAGAAGATTAATTGGAGGCAACCCGCTGCTGCAATTTTGGAAAGAAGTACTGGCGCTTATTACCTTAAGAAAGATATAGAGAATTGTGTGGTGCCTGTGTAAATCTTAGTTTATATATGTACATACTAAGTGTATGTATGAAGCTTTGAAATTGTGGACAATATTGACGAAATTCTGCAGCGATAGAATGGGAGGGAATCCAAACAATAAAATTAAGTAAGCAAATTGATGAAAGGAATGATGTACCTGCCGATCTAAATAACGTTTATTAACTAAACTGTGTTACAGTTGTTTCCGCAATCCTGGCGTTATAATTTGTCTCGTCATTCTGATTTCAACTATACTATATACTATATACTTAATATGGTCGGAGGTGCTTGCACAAACCTAACATGCCGATTAAACACTTCGGGTGCAGGGTATAAAAAGGGAAAAAGGTAGCCATAGTAACAGGAGCAGCTCGCGAGCCGCATTGCCTATAGATTAATCATTAATCAGTGCCAACGCACACTCATGCGCACGCACACATACTCTTACATACATACATACAACATGTACTTACAGCACACAGACTCAACTCAACAAACTTACAGGCACGCGCTTGTTTCGCCTTGCACAGCTGCCCTTGCAAAAATGATTTATGCGCAAAATTATGCTACATAAAAGTATGCACACACATACACACTTTGTCAAGCACGCACACATACATACATACATGCGTATTCGCACACTACAGCTGAAATGTTACTGGACAAATACAAATGAAAAAAAGCAATAAAAGCGTGCACATAGAAAAAATCCAATAATACTTATCATTTTTAATATTAACAATAAAGTGATTAGTAAAGTAAAGTAAAGTTTTAAAAGATATTGCTGCTCAATGTAACGCTTTTGAAATTCCATGATGGCAGCGATATCAAAAGGGCGCACTCAGTCGTCTGGACAATAAGTAGCTCGATTCTATGATTCACTTGGTCTTACTTTTTACAGGGACTTTGGACTGGGATGACATTTTATCGTCCTCGCGAAGCCCAAATCGTTTACTATGTGTTTACAAATTAATTCACAACTTTATTCTAAAAATCGGGAGTGCCCGGTTCTTTGATAAGCATGTACTTAAAAATAAAACAAGAAAGACAATCGAACAAGACTGCATTTGAATTAAATATATTTAATGAATTATGTGCTCCAGGGAATGGCGAAAAAAAAGTAGAAGAACAATTTGAAGAAGAATATACTGACTGCTATCTTTAAATATTAGTATGTTTATGGTTCTCATAAATTATATTCTGATTGACCAACTGCCTTTGTCTAATTAAATTGAACGAATTGATCTAATTTCTAGAAATATGAACACTTAAGTAAATAAGTGTTAAGTTGTTTCTGTAACATGGAAATAATTTACCATACTATCTTTATTATCAATTGGTCTGATATGACCAAAATTAACGAATGGGCGTATACTATACTGGCCATAGATTTGCTACTTAATCGCGATGATAAACATTGCAACAATTTAGTCCTAACAAATGTGTTTGCTTCAATTTGTAAACAATATAAATCACGTACACTTTCGTGAAAAAGGATACATATTCAAAGAAACACGAGCTCTGAATTAACATACCACTCATACTTATAATACAAGTAAAGCAGTTGGGCAGATTGGGAGAAAGTCCTTATTTTAAGAAATATACAATTCTTTCAATAAACCAGCTGAAACTAGCATTTGCAAAAAATTCTTATCAAAATATTCTGCCCAAGGTTACTAATTCGGAAAAACCGAGCCATGCCCCTTACATATTGACCAGACGAGCTGATGAATCATGAAAAGCTATCCGTCTGTAAATGGAAGGACTTCAAAAAGTGTGCGAAGTTATTGCCGATGTGGAACATGGCAAGCTACTGGCACTAGTCACATTATATATGCCACCTAGTATGCGAAATTTTCTCACTTTTGTCCACATTAAAAAATCCTATTAAGACTGACGACGCTGCAGCATCACCAACTTTCAGAATCATTATCCTCATCGAAGGGCTTCCACAGCATTAATGGGGAGTCTCGCTGTAGACAGCAATTGCTGTTGCAAATTGTTCTCTTGGCCAGCCAAAAAGTGACTGCCAATTATTAACATGCAACGATTATCTCTATATTTATATACAAGTATGTATATACTATATACATAAGAGGCTTCTCGCACTCACACTCAAACTCACTCATTCTCTATTTCTGTCTCTGATTGCAGCGCCGATGAAGGATTCGACGGCACCTACGCCACGAACGTGGTTGTTCGCAATAATGGAAGCTGTCTGTACGTGCCACCTGGAATATTCAAGTCCACGTGTAAAATCGACATCACTTGGTTTCCCTTCGATGATCAACGCTGTGAAATGAAATTCGGCTCCTGGACCTACGATGGTTTTCAGGTGAGTGGAGTGGAGTGGAGTGGAGTGGAGGGGAATGGAGTGGAGCCTGCATTTGTTCTTACTTATTACCTTTGGGTGGCCCGTCTTCGCCTGCCTGCCATTGAAAGCAAGTCATAAATAATGTGTGAGCTGGAGCCTCTGCTACTTATAAGTAGTATGTAGTTCCTTCTCTCGTTCGGTGGGCAGTAAGCTGCATTTTAATTGCTGGCAGCTTTTTCATTTACCACCTGTCACCATCAGCGTATTTATTCCATCGTTCGTTCAACGTGAAGCGTTAAGCTTTATTACATAACTAACACAGCTGCGCACACACATACATGCATATACTTACATATTCTCGTATATACAATATACTACGTATATAAGGCCGCCGCATAAATCAGCGAGCGAAAACTGTACAACAACTGCTCTATGCTCTTTGCCCCCACCCGTCCAAGTTGAAGTTGCAAGTCCAACGAACCCCTTTGGCCCCTGCGGTCTAACAATTTGATTTTAATTACTTACCTGTCGGCGTATTTGAAATGTGGCAACAATTAATTTGCATTTTATTTCAAAGCTTAACTTAATTAAAAACATATTCGTTTTACTATTTCTTTTTCCAACATATCTCGCCGCCCATTCCATTTCCATTTGTTGGTCGTTCAACCCCAGCGCCTATCCTCGCCTGCCCCCGCCCCACCCACACCCCCGCACAGCTCCGGCTTCCCTACAAGCTGTGCCTAGTTTGCATTGGTATTGTTGCTCTAGTGCTGTCCGCCTCCATGTCAATTGCAAATGATTAAGCGACAAATTAATTTACTTAAGTCAGAAACGAGCGGCTAGTTGTCGGCTCACAAATTAATTGCCGCGTTTCGATTTATTTCTCAATGGACGCGAAATCATAAATTACGCTTCTTATGACAAATTGCACTTCCAGATCTGCTCGTGAAGAGTGCGGGGGAGCGCGTTTCCATTGCATATCAGCTGTCAAGAGTAAAAGCAAATCATAAATGTGTAGCAATTTCTGGCCAGCGATTCAACTTCACATTTAATTGCTCTCAATTAAGTATGATATAATAATTAGCCATTGAAAGGCAGCATAGGAAAATGGAAAATATAAACTGCAGTTTCGCCAGCACTTAACGAGGCTTATAATTAAGCTAAGGATCAAATCAGTATTTATGCTAATTTAGCTTTGCCAGCCTAATACCACAACGCATTTCATTTGGAGATAATACAACTATTGCCTTTCGTTCAATTGGTTTGTTCGTATCTTTTAACAACAAACAACTCCAAAGGTGTTCAATTAATGGTTTGTGAGCACATGACATCGATGTATTCGTCCTTTTAAGTGTCCGATGTATTTTTGCAAGGTGGTAATAAATTTTTATGTGTCGAGTTGCAATACGTATCATAAGTACATACTTCCAATACGCTTTTTACTAATAAAAATGTATCTTCGTTAAGACTGACGGCGGAATGTTGTAATTATGTATTACGCTCAAAATAAGTTAAGTTCTAATTTAAACTCGTTAAATCTTTTTCTGAAACGTGTCAATTGACGCAACAAATTTATCGTTGTAATTACTTGTTTTGAAGAGTTAACAAGATAGAACATATCAAGGCTTAAAAATATTGAACAGCACCTCCGACTAATTGTGAAATTTCCCGACCAGCTGAGCCCCACACAATAAATAAGGCAAAAGACAAAAGTAAAATACTAAGCGTTTAATATAAATAAAAATATAAAAAACATAGAATAAGAAAAACTGAAAATAAATGATTTAAACAAATGTAATGCAATAAATTAAAGGAATTTAACAAATGTTGACGCTCACAACTACTGTAAAGGGTATTTTTTCTGTTTTCGTACACACCTCTTTACACTATCAATGTTTTCAGGTAAAATCGTGTGTAATTACTGCAATATATGAACATAATTAAAATCAATTGCAATTAAAACTACTTGTTATAGTTTTCAATTCTCATTATGGATGGGTGGTCGTGACAATTAAGCCAAAGATTTAAAATAAAGAAATGCAAGAGAGCGCTGATGCTTAAATACGAGTCCATATACGAGTACATACTGGTATATAAGCATACGAGTATATACTATGCAGTAGCACATATGCATATACCCGTATGTAATGGCAATGGCTACAACGAAGGCCACCGCCTCCCTGGAACCAGCAACGACAGAAGGGCCAATAATCATAATGAATGGGCGCGTTTAATTGCAACCGCAATTTTGTAAATGACGCTGGACGCTGATTGAGTTATTTCGTTTAATCAATTTGCGGAATAGCAGGATTGCTCTCCAGTCCAAATAAAAAAAAAACAGGACGAAGTGGGAAGGGCAGGCTACGTACTGGTAGTGCTCTTATGCGGCAGTAATTGTGTTTTATGAAAATAATAATTAATATTGGCTCCTCCACACCTAATCGCAAATGGTTTTGCATATCTACTTCATCAGTTTCAGGACACAACTATTGAAAGTTTAAGTTCGCAGTCGCTCAGTCTGATGAATTAATTGAATCTCAAGTTATCCAGTTAAGCGAAACTTTGCGCATAAATACCAACTCTGTGGCCAAAAATTGAGAAACTTGTTCCCCTTTGCATTTTCAATTTCATCTCTTGGCTTCTAGCGAATATCAACTAACGATTTGTCCAAGAATATTATTAAAAGAAAGTCAGCCAAAATCCGCACCAAGATGTGGTGGTCAGCAAAGCAGTATTAGATTAAATTTTCATTTCGGTTTTCCGCTTTCTCCTGATTTATTATTTTTATTTAATTTTATACAAGTTTTAATTAAACGAACTCAGGAGTAATTTTCATGTCTCTCTCTCACACACAACACAATTTGTTTCCTCCATGGACGTGTCCGTACTATTTTATATTTTCATTAGCCCTAGATGGTGGTTCGAACATTTGTTATTATGTTTTCTTTTATACTTGCGCTTTTTGTTTTGTGCTCTAGTCATCACTAAGTTCTTGGATAGGGCAGGCGTGGAGTTGACTAGGCCTTCCCCAAGTAGGAGTCGATTCAACAAAGAACAACTTTAGTACAAATTAACTTTTGTAACAAATTAATAAATAAATAATAAATCAATAAATCAAAGAAGACTACTTCGGGACATACTCGAAATACTTGTATATGATGACGCTATACATATGTTGTTTTTTGTATAATGTTAAAGCCCAATTTCAGAATAAATAAAATAATAAACTTAAAAAAATGTAAAAGCTGACAATGTTGTGCTTGAGGATCAAACAATAACAAATTTAAATCGGCCGTAGTCGTTTCGACGAAGAACTACCTTAGTGTACGTATAATAATGGAACCATCTGTAGTTGATTAACATTTTTCCCATGATGGTGCAACACAACAAGTTATTCATCTAAGGACTTATTTCAAGTCATATCGTTTAAAGTATGTTCAAATAGCGGTCTGACAAGTTTAGTCCTGCATTTGACTTTCGTCAAAAAAAAAAAATTACACGCGATGGATCAGAAACTGTGGGAGGATTTGGTTTCTTCTCCTCATGCTTATCATATATATACTATATGTAGTAAGTGCATATATGTACAAGTATATTGTACCTATGCATGCCGCAAACATTCTGAAGAATCGAAGTGGCTTTTACTCTTGATATTTTGACGCAATGGCATCATCTTTCGTTGAAATCAATACAACAACAATGAAATACTCCTAGCGCTCGCTTCAATTTAAAATGTTATACCTTTTCTGTATTAACAAGCTTAAAACCTCGTTTTACGCGATAGAAGTTGAACAAATTTCAAAAAGAAGAGTACTCCTAATTCTGTTTTTACACGGTAGATTGGTTCCATAAAAAGTCGTGTAAAAAAATACATTGATCATATGCATATAGATGATTGGATCCTTATCTCTAAAACCTATTAAAATCAGTAAAAAAAAAAAAAATGTATTTTTATTTTTTTAAATCATGTATATATGTGTGGATAACGACCCATATAAGAATGTTTTCTAGCTGTTTGTCAGCTGTGTGTGTTTAATAGAATTAAGTCGTGTAACCATATTTAAAATTTATAATTTTCAAACCGTGATAAATCAAAACCGTCTAAAAAAAGACCTTTAACGCACTTTTGTTATTGAAATATGACCCAGGATGTGCGATTAATCCATCCATAAGCCATCTAGATTAATATAAGCCATGGATGAGCTGGAGGATATAATATGCACTTTCAAAACATACTACTACCAGTATATCAGACGGTCTATACTCAAGATTTTGGATACAACTGAAACCGACTCCATCGATGTAATAAGTGCTGGAAAGAAATTTTCAATTGCCCCTAACTGTTTATTTTATCTCCAAAAGAGCTTAAGGAGACAACCTTGAATGGATTTGGGGAGAAATAATGAGCAGCGGTTGCTTAAAGCCATAAAACTAAAATTATCACAATATGACAATATACATTTAATTGAAGGTGCAGGATTCGAAAACATGAATATCAACGATGTGCAAGAGTTTTTTGAAGAGAAAGGCATGGATTTGGAATTATTATTAGAAATAGCTCTGCACGAACAGAGCAATTCAAAATCAAATGACAGCAACTTTAAAGAAACTGAACCTTGAATTGTTTAACCATAGAAAAACTTTAAGAACGAATCGCGAAGAGGATCAGCATAAGCAAAAAAAATGATTAGCACGAAAACGGCTTATAATTAGATTATCCGTATGCTAATGCCACCAAATTGTTATTCAATTTTATATTCAGCTGCTTTAAAATTTTGTACGCTGAACAACATTTTCTGCTTTAATAAGATTACTTGATATTGGGATTTATGATAAATATTTAACATTTGAAAAAAGTTTTTGTTAATTTTGAAAAGGTTTGGACCTTTCAAACAGCGGAGATTTAAAAAGCAACATTTTTTTGTGCATTTGTCGAAATCTAGGAACGTAACCCCATATTTAACACGAGGTTAAGTGAGGGATATGTGTACAAGTTTTGGGGCAAGCAGTATCCTGAAGTA